ACATTCCTAAGGACAAGTTAATTCTTTTAGCATCTGTTTATCATCCACCAAACATGTCTGTACATTCCCGTTGACTCCTTTAGATTACCCCTATTGTCTTTCACACCCGTTTCCGGTGTCATCACGCAAGGCTAAACTCCCTTGCGTCACGACACAGGAAACGGAGACCAGTAGGTGATCATTGTTAAAAATGTTATTAAAATAAAATCTATTATGTAATGGATTCAGAAGAAAACAAGGTAATCACTGGTAATGTGACATTTTAAACATGATCTTAAAACAATTAAAAATCACAAACCATCAGTTGTTGCTTAAATTATAATCAAATTGTCGATGAGTTTCACAAGAGAGAGGGGGAAGTGGATGTTTTGTTCGATTCTCGTATTTCATGTACGTGACATGTCGTCTCGCCTTATTTGAGACATTTATACCTTGTTTTAGATGGTTTTAGATTGTTTGCGAGTGGTTATAGATGTTTTTGAGGTGCTTGTAGATGGTTGTAGGTGGTTATTGAATTTTTTGAGGTGGTTGTAGGTGGTTTTAGGTGGTTGTAGATGGTTTTAGGTGGTTTTAGGTCGTTCCATGTTTTAGTAACTGCGTCTTTCCTGCATGGCTTTTAGTTCGTGTGACTTGTCTGTCACGTGGTTGGTTTGTTTACACCCCGTGCATGGCACGTACACGTACGACTTCGCAATTGCCAAAAGCCATTCAAGCCACTCAAGATGCACACTTGTTAGATTCTCACTTTACCGACTCAGAAGCTGCAATACGTAACTACTCAGATTGTAGACCATTGTGAAAAAAAGTTTTTGCAATTTTGTAGTCACGACAAATGTTTCCTCTTTATCAGTAGTGTCTGAAGTTTGATATAATGATAAACATTCTGTTCAAGTTTGCTGACTGAAATTATATTCACAGATATTCGACTTCATGATCATCGTAGCGATTGTAGAATCTCTTAAATTTCAAGAATGTCAGCACGCAAATTATAGTTTTTCGTTGTTTTACGGATTATAGCCTTTGAACGGTCGTAATTGGACTTCATAAACATGTATATTTTTCGGATTGGTTTTGTGGGGGCGGGGGGGGGGGGTGTTAGTTTTCGTCAACGAAAACTAAGAGGAGCCTTTGTTTTCGAAATTAAGAAATCTAAGGCCCCTAAATTAGAATTGAAAACGGATTTCCCGTTCCTTTCGGCAAATCCAAGTCCGGATTTTTGATTAGTCGAAAGGTTCAGCGGTATTTCCAGTTGAACTATACACTTAGAGTTTCCTAGTTGCTATCATTTGCCCTATAGGCCTTGAAAAATGTAAAAAAGAATGCGATATTGTTTAAATTATTCTGGCACAAGGTTTTTGTCCACTGAAAATTGAAATTACTCAATGTCAATGTTTCCGGATGGATTCCGTCTTAAGTACTTCTTGGGCACTCAGAAAGAGGCCAAGCTGTAATGTGAATAAATATATTTGACCAGTTGAAAAATACATTAATGATGTTGATCCCTTGTTCAAAAACTTTTAGGTTAAAGAAGGCAGAACATGAAACTTGAAATACAATGGAATCTCACGAATATATAACTCGAACCATTAGATAACAAACCTTTATTTAAAGATTGGCTGCGTTGGCTTTTGCTTGTAGATATGCTTTAACTGCGCTGACAGCGAAATGCCAAAATGGCAAGTAAAGCGGAAACTTTTTGGAGTATAGCAAATTTGGTAAAATCGGCAAACGGCTTTTATAAGTGATCACAAACACGAGAGGAGTGAACCTTACTCGCATGACAAAGAACTGCGGGAAATCGCACACGAAAAATCGCAATTTTTGCTGCTACGTGCGAAACCTGGACATAAGTGGGATTAGAACCCTTGACCTCTGTGATACCCGGTGCAGCGCTCTACCAATTAAGCTGACAAGCCAACTGAAAGCTGCTGGAACCTGCTCCCAGTTGGCACGTTAGCTTAATTGGTAGAGCGCTGCACTGGTTTCGCAGAGGTCAAGGGCTCGAATCCCTTACAAGCCTGAATTATTTTTTTCAGGCTTTCTTTTCGCAACTCCAAAAGTTGCGTATAGCTGCGATGATCTTCCTTCATTTAATTCTTCACTCCGCAGTTCACATAATTTTATGATTTTCATATATTCATAACTTCATTACAAATATTTTTCTTCATCACTTTACCCATAATCATTAGGCCAGCAAGAATAACAAATACTAATGCGACCCTGATTGATAATATATTTGTACACAAAATAGAAGAGAACAATAAATGTGGTATCCTTTTTACCGTGAGATCTTTCGGATCACTTACTAGTGTTCGCAGCAATGGGTAACTTGCTTGCAAAAGCTCAAACGTCAAAAGGGTAACAAAAAACAAATTTAGGTTAATTGATGATAAAATGCTAAATTCCCTCTGCCAAGACTTGGAATGTAAAGATTGAATATTGATGTTTATGGTAAGACGGTTTTAAGATCACTTTTACACTAAATAATATCAGTTGTTGAACAAAAACGTACCATTAACGAGACCCAGTAAAAAGAAAAGTGATAACGGGCAGAGAGTACCTTGGATATCAAAAGGAATCCTAAATTCAAGGAAAACAAAAAATGTGTTATATAAAAATTTCTAAAGGAATCGGAATGAAAATAATGATTCAATTCATAAAACATTATCTTTGCCGGTGATACTAATTTATTTTACAGCCACAAAGTTGCTAACAGTTTGTGCAGTACCATGAACCGAGCAGCCTCATCAGATTTTTAAAACTAAGAGAAAGAAGTTGATGAGACTACCACACTGAATTAAAATTACTGGTCGAATGTTAAAAGTACTACATTTCTAGGTCCTAAATATGAATTGAAAAACAGATACAGTTATGATACTCGATCAGCATTAAATGTATTTATAATTCCCAGTCAGTAGGAGGACAAATTACGGAAAATGTTTGTTGGTTTTGAAACGTAATTCCTTGTCGTTAATTCCTCGTTTAATTGCTCGAACGTGCTAACGGTAGTTATTATAAATCGATTATCGCCTGCATTAATGGTTTTTAATTGATAAGCCAACCGCTACATTTCCTGTCCTTTTATGTAATGTCCGCATAGGAAATACGTTATAATTTTTGGCACGTTTCGTTAACTATAAATTTAGCGTTTTCATCTTAGTTAGTTTACTTCCACTGGAGACTTCACGGTGTTAACTTCTGCAGAGATAAAGCTATATAACATTGGTGCGTGTGCAAGTTAAAGTGAGTATAGTTGTTTTGCAAATCAAAGTTTCTGTAATATACAGTGAAACCTCTATTAAGCGGACCCCCAATTAGGGGGCACGTAACGTTAATTTTCCGAAAATATCTGTTCGGAAGACGATTTGAGATCTACAATTTTCAGAACATTTGTTGTAAAATGTCATGCTTGCCTGCCTCTCCTAGGATTTTTCGAACATCTAAAATTGATATAATTGCCCATTTTCAACGGATTTTTACCCTAAAAGGGTCAGCTAGAATTTTCGGGAGCCCTTTTTCTAGCTGAAATTTTCGAAAAGGTAAGTTTTGATCCCTATAATTTTCGGATCACTGGACTTTCAGCTAAGAAATCCGAACAGATGAAAAATTTTTAGGGGATAAAAATATGCCTATATCTACCGTTTAAATACTAAAATACGTTTAACAGTTCTATGTTTAAGTGGTTTTGAACTATATTCTCGTTGCTTGCCCCTGATAGCATAAAAAAACACCAGGGATGAAAAATTCGGCCAATCTTGGCAAGTTTCGATTCATGTCCACCATTGCCATCTCTTGCAATAGACGGTGGGAAATTTAGTTTCAGTGCCTAAATATATCTTGAAACAAATAACTGGACCATTTTTTCTTGAATTCAATTCATGCGAAAAACGTTTTTGGTTTTTAAAAAGATAGCACGTGGTGTGACATAGCCGATTTAAAGGCGAAAGATGCCGATATCTACCATTTAAATTCTAAAATACGTTTAACAATACTATGTTTAAGTGGTTTTGAAGTATATTCTCGTTAGGTGCCCCTGCCAATTAAGCGGACACCCTCTATTAAGCGAACACTAAGCCGGGTCCCGAAAGTAACGTCTGATACTTCTCTTTGTAACGAGTCTCTATTCAGCCGACACCTCTATTAAGGGCGCGGACACCGGACTAAATTGACAATAGTAGTATTGGGTTACGTCCTTGAAATACGTACTGTAGTCGATTTTAAAATAGATACATCCATTTAATAAATGCATTTAGCTGTCAATAAACTGTAGATTAGACGATATCCGGTCGCATGATTGTCATCCGTGATCAAAGTTCACCGAAAAGTCTTGCACAAAGTATAGTACAGCTGTTCGCAATCAAAACCTTCCTTAACAACATGAAACGTTATCACTGAGTTGAATGTTAACCGTTAACAAACGTTGCGCAATTTTTGCAAACCTCTATTTAGCTAAAATCAGGGACTTTTGTCAAACATTTAATTCATTTATTATTTCATTCCTTATAAACGCCGTAAATCCCCTCACCCCCCGAATCAATGTTGTCTGAAGTAGTAAAAGAAAGACTTGAGGGTCCAAAATACAACATTGATTTTGGGGGGAAGGGGTTGGGGTAGACAGGGGAAGGGGATAGGTATGTCCACTATGCAAAAGGGGCTATAATACGGAAGTGTCTCAACACTTTTTTCCTTCATTGTAGATTGCAACAGCACAGCCTCTTTGCTCTTCCTCCATGAACGGAGAAAAGGCCAAACTACTTCTTTTCTTTACTTGCGCCATTTTTCGCGCGGTCTTTGACTCTAAGTTCCTCGTTCTTTGCTCCTAAACCGCACAGAAACGCTTGCTACGCAGGCTAAAGCAGATTTAATCGTCAGGTCTGTCGTCAAATGGCACGAGTTTCGCGGGAATAAAAAAAAAATTGCGACAACTCTGACCTGCTACGCAAGACTTGCGCAGGACTCACAATCACGGAATGCTCTAAACCGGGCAAGAACAGGAAGAAAGAAGCTTCTGTATGGATGTAATTGCTGTACCATGTCGCCTGCTGTGCTCATTGAAGCCGTCTTTGAGGCGACGTATTGTTTCCCCCAATGTATTGTAGATTACAAAGGCGACATTGAAAATCATGTACTAGATAACACTGAAAGTAGTGCAAGTTAGATGAGAATTAATACGGCAGGTTTCACCGGTGGAATGAACATCGCTTTTGATCGTGCGTTGGCAGTGATAGTGGCTGAACGCAGACCGAACGGCACGTCCCGAGAACAAAGGGTAATCCGTAGGGTCAATAGGTATCTGACAATAGCTAGGCGCACCGAGGATCTTTTTTAAAGACATAACTCCTTTAGCCCTGATTTTGAGTACGTATAAGCCTTCTTTAGTCTGTTTTGATAATCCCTGGAGAGTTAAATTGAAGCATTTCTTTTTTGGAGGCTTAAAGCGATAAAATAAAAGCAAGCGAATGACATGCACTGTTCTGGTCTCTGGTCTATGAATTATTACAAATAGTAGCAAGTGTCTTTATAGACATCTAGAAAGGTTGTCTCTCCACATTCAACGCTTCGCAAACAGAGGTAAGTAAACTTCTCTGCAAAGATAGGTGGAAATTAGTCGTCTATAGTTTGGGTACCACTGCAGGGACGAGGCCTCGCATAAATAATAATTATTATATTGATAAGGAAGTGATTTGGAGACGTTAATCTACAAATGGAAACTGTTTCTTTCTTCGACCTCTCACTTCTTGGCATTTTTAAGGTGATTGGTAAATATCATTGCATTGTTTGATATTTCCGTGTCTATCTGCTGCAGCTTTGATCCGCCATGTCCATCACGTTATACGAGAACGAAAAGTCACGTACAGAAGGAAAAGGGGTCACGTTTACACAGTCACGAGCGAGTCTTCTCAAAGACGGGAAATTCACAATAGCCGATGTTAAAGCCGGAAACTGGATCTTCTACGAGGGCCAAGACTACCATGGCCCTTTAGTGAAGACAGTAAGAAGTGTTGAAAAACACGTAACCATAAATGGCGTAATTGGCTCCGTGTTCCTGGTAGAAAATCCCTCACTCATTTTGTTTAAGGACACTGGCTATCGTGGAGAGAGGAAGGTACTACGAATATAATTAGTGAACTCATTCAGTAATAACTGGGGAAACCTATGTTCTCTTTGTTCTACTTTACTGTTTATAATAAAAACAACGCAAATATATCAAAGGCCTATGAGAACAATTATGAGACACCAAAGATTTTTTTTTTTACTTCAGATTCAGCTGAAGCCGGTTAGAATAGAGATTTCAATGGCTTTTGATTTGAACAGGCTTTGTTTTGTCAACTCTGGTCTGGAATCATTATTTTCAAAAGAAAGTACTTTTCTAAAAAAAAATTATCTTGCAATTCAATAATCTGCTCAGAGAGGTACTATTATGAAATAACTTAATTTTAACATGCTTATTTTAGTTCAGTCAATTTTTAATATCAATATGTGTTTGCAAACAAAAGCCTTATCGGCCTAGCTTAAATCATGTATCAGATACTTTTAGCTACACAAATTCAGGGTTTTAGTTCGGGTTAGGTCAAATCTTGAAATTTCAAAATTCTGCATGCCAAACTATTGTAATTTCAAAATTTGTTAACTTACCAGAAATTGACTCACCGTGATAACCCTGGGGGGGGGGGGGGGTTACTCGACCAATATTTGGGTATAGGTGAGCCGCTGAGGGTTTGACCCTGTTTAGGACAAAAATTCCTAAACTATATACCCCGTTTAGGACAACACAATCAATTTTAGTACATTGTTTAGTACCCTGTTTACACTAAGACAAAATCGATCGTGCATGTTTATAATTAGAACAGACTCGCACAAATCATGCACACTGTTTAGGAGAGACTTGCGCGTAATTGTATACCCTGTTTAGGACAGTCGTGCGAAATTATATACCCTTTTTAGGACAGAGAGGACGAAAACCATACCCTGTCCAGCGGCATATCCCCGTATAGGCCATATAAGGGAGTACTCCCCCCTCGGGGGTGATAACACACGGTTAATAAATCACCACGTTGGCGTAAAATCCCAGGGCGGCAAACTTCGAACTAAAACGTTTGCCATTACCCCTCCCACCACCCCGGAACAGATGTAGCCGCTGTTTGGAAGAGAAGTCACCAATGGCGCGTTTCCCTGACTCCAAACAATACTAAAACAATAGAAAGAATGACATGTCATTGTTTCCTGCGACCAATTAGGAGAGACCTTACGAGCAGCTGCTACACTACTGTTGATCTGAAACGAGCTAATATTTCACGACTGACATATCCGCGAAGTAATAAAGTGAATTCCCCAGGGGCGTTACTCACCAATGTTTTATACGGGGAGACTCCACCGCTTTTTCGTTGTATTGGTAATATGCGAAATCTTCTCGATTTGAAGAAACTTGGCGCGCAAGGTGGCCCCGGTTAATTTTTCAGCATGCGCGCAAGGCGTTCTTGGGAAATTCTGGAAACACATCGTTGACTTGTCTCCATTTCCGCCATCTCCCGGGTCCGGTCTGGGGATGAGTGTGGGCTCATTTTCCCGAACAGCGGCTGGTAATCTAGCCTCCCACGCAGGCGTTTTTAGGGAAGCTCGTCTTTCTTGTGGGGAGGGATGAAAGACGAGCTCCCTAAAAACGCCTGCGTGGGAGGCTACTGGTAATCGAGCCTAGTCGTTGACCGGTCAGCATTAGATTCCATCCTCCAGAACCTCCCCTCTTAAGTCTCTACTCTTTCTACTCTTATACTACTACATGAAAAATTTCTGCAATTTGATTGGCTTAGAGCGGTGGTATTTCAGCTTAATTTGAAATCCCTACATGTGAAAATTACAAACCTTTTGCGGGTAATAGTATAAACAAATAATAGCATGATTTCTACATGATATTTTGCATAAATTCCACTCGTGGTATTACAAAATTGTCTCAAATTTCACTTGCCTAACGGCTCGTGAATTTACGTAAAACAATTTCGAAATGGCCGTTTTTATGCTAGAGACGTTAAAGTCGTCTAGACGCATTTAACGTCTGAGACGTTAAAGTCGTCTAGTGTAAAAACGGGACGCACAAAAGTAGACGACCTTATTTAAAAAAGTAGATTTTTCTGAAAAAAGGACTAGGCTCTACTCTCGGAAGACACTGGACACGAGTTAAAGCGGCGCCAAAAATGAACTTCAAGCTAGCAAACTTCCTAGTTTACGACGTCCCGTCTTTATACCAGACGACTTTAACGTCTGAGACGTTAAAGTCGTCTGTTAAGTGCGTCGTTCGGACGCACTTAACAGAAGACGTTAAAGTCGTCAGACGTTAAAGTCGTCTGCCTTATTTTAATACCGTTTTTATACTAGACGTTAAAGTCGTCTTAAGACGACTTTAACGTCTCTAGCATAAAAACGGCCAATATCACTCGTGGTATTTATGCCAAATATCACTACAAATCATGCTATTACCTACACTTCTAGTCTTTCTCTAAGGGTTGATTTCCATTGTCGCATAATTTTTACGTGCGTAAATTTTACGTGCGCAAATAAGATAAAGGCAACGCATGAAGGGTCGCTCGTAAGCGTAAAAGTTAAACCTCGCTCAACTTCACGTTTAATCTCAACACTTTGGGTGGGATATTTAAACGAAGTCTAACTTAAAACGCGGTTTAGGAAATCTTTGGACTTTTAAATCTCGTCCATAGTGGGTTATTTTAAGAAGACAAATGCTTTTCTAATCTACGCCTTATGCTTTCATGAAACAGTTCACGATAAATCGTGTTTATATAAAAGCGTTCGGGAAACTGTAAATGGTTTAGAACGGCGGTTTTGTTAAACACTGGCTAAACTCCGTTTAAATAACTGGCCCTTTATATCTTGTCTTATTTTTTGTTTACGCGATTAAAATTTACGTGTGTTCCCCTGGTTAACACGTGCCAAAAACGCGTCAGTGGAAATCTACCTTAAGTCTAAGTCCCCTCAATTATTTTTTGGGAAGTGAAAAGGGAAATTGACTGTGGCATTAGCGGGATCCTAACCCGCGGTCTTAAAAACCGAACTCTATCGCCTATACCACTACACCACAGTGGATTGCTCAGAAAATGAGGCGTTCGTTTTACATTATTTCTAGTGACAAACCTATAAGTAAATTAAAGTTAACCACTTAGAGTCAGTGCTTAACCCAAATCACTATAACGTTTTTCGCGAAGTTTTCAGAAAATGTCATAACCATAGAAATAGAGTTCTAAAGTGATGACGTCATAAAAATAAAATTTGGGAATTTATAGGATTTGTCAAGATATTCAGAAAGAACAATGTCCAAAACACCTACTTGCCAAAAATTAGCATTTCGGGGCAAATTGTCTCAAATTGCAAATCCTTCTAAATATGGCTTGGGTCTAAACGTTTAGACCCTTTGGGGCGGCACACCATCATCATCATCATCTTTTTTTATTTAAACAACTTGGGTTTTAAAGCTGATACAGCTTATCGAGCACATACCTATAAACTGCAGCTATAAAGTAAATATAAGGGAGCACCCCACCCCCGGGTAAAATCCCTACCCTTTCAAATACCTAAAGCCTAAAAAAGGTACATCATTCGGGCGTAGCCCCCCCGCATAGGTCATTATAGGAAGTACCCCCTGGGGGGTGAATTCCAGCTTGGTTAGTTAGTTTTTTTTTTTTTTTTTTTCAGTTTCTAGCCGTGTTGCATTTAAGAGGAAGTCTAATGCTGATCCAAACGTCACGATCATCTTTACTGACATAATCTGAGTGTTATCTTTTTATTATTATTATTTTCTTGTAGTGGTTTCAAGACAATCAGGAAGATCTGACCGGATTATTCCCAGCAGAAACAGGAGAAGACGACAAAAAATCAGGCATCTCCTCTGCTATCTTGTTGTCTAAGACCCGGTCCGTAGTTTTGTTCACCGAAGCCAATTTTGGAGGCAAGAAATATACTATGCAACCAGGAGAGTGGTGTGAAAAGGCGAAGTTCACGGACGACCACCAGGCTGGACAGAACGACAAATGGCTGAGCTTCAAATTTATCTAAGGCGTAAGAGTTGAAAACCCCAACCTGCCCGGCCAGCCACACTCCATTTTGCTCGAGTTTTCTTTTAGTCTCGAAGTTATGTAGTTTTTGATTGAGAAGCCGATTGTAATTAGTACACTTTAGGATTTTAAGAGTTATAAAATGTTGTCAAAACCAGAGGGAAGAATTGAATAAATGAAGATTGTTTCCAGCATTTTGTCTTTGTAAACTTTAACTTAATTGTACGGGAAACTGGCTGTGACATTCAAATGGGAGATGAAATTTTTTGTCTTGTACCCAGACGTCTCTCTCTTTCTATGAAAGTTTGCGCGCAAAGAAAGGCGGGAAGGAGAAAAAGGGCGAGCACCTCTCTTGTTTCTCCTTCCCATGCTCCATTGCGATTCGTCACCATTCACTGGCGTTTCGCGTTCGCCTCTATGTGGAATAAATACGAAGCACCTGAGAAGGAAGAAGATCTCAGCCCATCATTTAGTACTAGACCGGAGGGATAAGAATCAATATGTCGTGGCTGAATTTTATCCTTGGTTTAAATTTTATGTTCTTTTGTTACAAAATCATACACCCCCCCCCCCCCAACCCACCCACCGAAAAAAAAAGAGAGAGAGAAGAAAATTTCAACCAAAGATAAAATGGAGCCACAACAAATACATTTGTCAACTTCCATTCTCTAGGTCATATATGAGCTTTCTGAAATATTATGCTGAGAAAAAAGGAGAGTCCGATTGGTGTCACGAACTATTTCAAAAAGGCGCTTCATGAAAAACTTCACAAGTCTGACAAGAGAGCGGGAGAAATTCTCTTCAATCACTTTGTGGTGCATGCTGTTTTTCTAAAAGGAGGGAGGGCTGGAGGGGAGAAAAGGAGAAGATGCCACACCTGGCCACACGACGAGGTGTGTTACCATTTTTTCTGGCACATTTTGCCAACATCTTAATTTTCGAATAATGAGGATAATGATAAGAGGCAGGAGGCAACATCTATTTTTTACCAATAACATGAAATTGACATTCCTTGGGTGGTTTAAATAAAAAATTAAAAGCAACAAACAATCAATCAACTTTGAGAGGCAGATACGTTAAATAGCGCTGCGCACAGATGACGTCACAAAAACGTGACCCTGTACTGTCGCAATTTGTAATAATCATCGCACTTTGTAATACCTGTCGCAATTTGTAATAAACCATATCGCACTTTGTAACAAAAAAAGCTGTCGCAATTTGTAATAACAGTCCATCGCACTTTGTAATAACTTTTTGAGAGTGATTGGACTTACTTCGTCAACATTAATATAATGCTAAAATATGCAAGGTACTTCGTAAATAAAGACGATTACGTCTGCTAGCACGTAACATCTCCGTAACATTTTGTTTGGTCAAACATGCATATCTTCCGCTATGAATTATTCTGCCTTGAGTAATCACGAGACCAACTAGAATCGCTTTCATGAAAGACCTGAAACTTCTTGCGACATATCACCAAAAGGATATGAACCATGTTTAAATTTAAAAATATTTAAATAACAAAAGAAACATTTAACAACAGAAAATCTATGAATAACCTGGCATTCGTCGCCGCGTGACTCGTGAAGTCTTCGGGGGGGATAATCCCATATATGGATGGGCTAGATAGGCAAGTACCGCTTGATAGGGTATGCTTTTTTGTGGATCTCGAGCCTTTAATAGGGTATCATTTTTTTACCTTGTTGGCCTTGTGTCTTTGGTTTGATCCTTAAATAGGGTAACTCATGTAGTAATGAATGGTTTATTCCATCCTTTCCATTTTGTGGAAAAAACGTAATCCTGAACACGCTCGGAAGAATTACAAGGTCTTTCGAGTTGTATATACGTAGGGAAGGAGAATTTTTTACTATCCCCACGGTATTTGCTTTAGAGGACTCCATATAGAAAAAATTGTTTTAAGATGGAATGAGTACTCCTTTTGTAACTATATGGGACCAAATCAAGTGAGAATAATGGACCAAATGGCTAGCCGGCTCAGTGTAAGACCCCAAGAAAGTTTTATAAAAACAGATACATACGAAGGTATTGGCCAGCGATTAATTGGATTTTGTGTTCATGTTTCTGTCGTGGTTTGCCACTGGTGACGTTTTTTGTTTATTTGCAGTAAACATTTTGAATCTTCAGGCGTCGTTTGATTAAGTTGGCCAAAATATGGAAGCCACTATTACTTCTTTAAGATTGCGCGTTAGACAAGGACGGTGCAGCACGTGTTGTATCAACCTGTTATAAGATCTAGCAGGAAAGCTTGAGCTTTCCTAGTGTCCTTATTCGAATGATGTTAGGATGGCTGTTACGATTTGCGGAAATTAAATGCTTTTTAATAATGGCTCGTTTGTGTCGAGTGTGTCTAGCTCTGTCCAGAGGCACATCCCCGTATTGGCCATATAAGGAAGTACACCCGCCGGGTAACCATTGAATGCAAACCACCTAGTACAATAGCAAAGTTTAAGAATACAGCCTTTCGTAAGTCAGATAACTAATCAACAAAAATTTGAAAAAACTGTGAATAAAGTTAAGGTGATTCCATAGTAAAAGAACCTAACATAGATTTTAGCTAAAACTTGGTACACTGATGTAACAAGTCAAGAAGATGATAAAAATGTAATAAAAAGTGGGGGTCACCGTGCTCGTTTTGACGTCACAATGCTGACAAATACGGCTATTTAGGACCCTTTTACAAAAACCGCGGGCAGCGCAAAACTAGACAAAAAGGAGAGATTTTTTCCATGATGCATGTGACATCACACAGAATTTGACTTTAATGTATTGTTTATCCACTTACGTACCAGAAAAATGCCTTTTAATGCCCTTGTTTTTACTTTACGCTCCAAAGTAGAATTAAATTGGACGCGCGCTTTTCGACCCGTGATGGCTCAATCCGTACAATTTAGCAAAATTGCCAAAAAACTGGACATAGATTTGAGCCAATTTTTTTCTCGTCGAAAGGAAGCACTGTCCTTATTAAAATCATGAAATAAAAAATGGGGTTCACCGTACTCGTTTTTGCGGTAGAGCTGCAGAAAGTGCGCAACAAACGCATTTTCTCCGAGTTTTGAGAGAGGACTGGGGCGAGTTTCAAAATAGAATATATGTGAAAGGGGGAAGAAAGTATTAAAAAATCCGTTTTTACAGAATTTACATCGAGATATCATATTTAGGACACAATGTGATAAAGAAAGTGTTTAAATGAAAATCAAAGTGAGTAAGCGCAAGTTAAACATCCACTATCGAGGTTCTCCGAGAGGAGGTCGAACTCAGCAACACGCGTACTGCTTACGTTATGCACATTCCCAACACATTAAGTCTCACCTCGGCAAGAAACAACAGCAAGCAAAAATTCCAAGAGCGTTTTTCTTCAGTCAACTTCATTTTAATAATATTACTTCACGTGCTCTTTTTTACGGTGGCCATCTTGTTATGCGCAGTAAGAGATGCGCAGTGCAAAACTAGGGAATCACCTTAAATGGTTTGAATGAACGGAGAAGTTACGTGCTAGCAGACGTCATCATCTTTGTTTATGAAGTACCACGCATATTTTGGCATTATATTAATGTTGACGAAGTAAGTTGAATCACCCCCAAAAAATTATTACAAAGTGCGATGGAATTATTACAAATTGCGACAGCTTAGTTTATTACAAAATGCGATGGACTGTTATTACCGTAAATTGCGACAGCTTTTTTAATACAAAGTGCGACACGGTTTATTACAAATTACGACAGGTATTACAAAGTGCGATGTATTTATTACAAATTGCGACAGGTATTACAAAGTGCGATGATTATTACAAATTGCGACAGTACATAGTGTCTTGGCTTACTTTTGTGTCTTGGGTTCCTTGAGTGTCTTGCCTTACTTTTGCGTCTTGGCCTACTTCAGTTACTTGGCGTTCTTGAGGTACTTGACTTACTTTTGTGTCTTCGATTGCTGCAGTGTCTTAGCCTACTTCAGTTACTTGGCGTACTTGAGGTACTTGGCTTGCTTTTGTGTCTTGGGTTGCTTGGGTGTCTTGCCTTACTTTTGCGTCTTGGCCTACTTCAGTTACTTGGCGTTCTTGAGGTACTTGGCTTGCTTTTGTGTCTTCGATTGCTTCAGTGTCTTGGCCTACTTCAGTTACTTGGCGTTCTTGAGGTACTTGATTTACTTTTGTGTCTTCGATTGCTTCAGTGTCTTGGCCTACTTCAGTTACTTGGCGTTCTTGAGGTACTTGGCTTACTTTTGTGTCTTCGATTGCTTCAGTGTCTTGGCCTACTTCAGTTACTTGGCGTTCTTGAGGTACTTGACTTACTTTTGTGTCTTCGATTGCTTCAGTGTCTTGGATTACTTCAGTTACTTGGCGTTCTTGAGGTACTTGGCTTACTTTTTGTGTCTTGGGTTGCTTGAGTGTCTTGCCTTACTTTTGTGTCTTGGCCTACTTCAGTTACTTGGCGTTCTTGAGGTACTTGACTTACTTTTGTGTCTTCGATTGCTTCAGTGTCTTGGATTACTTCAGTTACTTGGCGTTCTTGAGGTACTTGGCTTACTTTTGTGTCTTCGATTGCTTCAGTGTCTTGGCCTACTTCAGCTACTTGGCGTTCTTGAGGTACTTGACTTACTTTTGTGTCTTCGATTGCTTCAGTGTCTTGGCCTACTTCAGTTCCTTGGCGTTCTTGAGGTACTTGGCTTACTTTTGTGTCTTCGATTGCTTCAGTGTCTTGGCCTACTTCAGTTACTTGGCGTTCTTGAGGTACTTGACTTACTTTTGTGTCTTCGATTGCTTCAGTGTCTTGGATTACTTCAGTTACTTGGCGTTCTTGAGGTACTTGGCTTACTTTTGTGTCTTGGGTTGCTTGAGTGTCTTGCCTTACTTTTGTGTCTTGGCCTACTTCAGTTACTTGGCGTTCTTGAGGTACTTGACTTACTTTTGTGTCTTCGATTGCTTCAGTGTCTTGGATTACTTCAGTTACTTGGCGTTCTTGAGGTACTTGGCTTACTTTTGTGTCTTCGATTGCTTCAGTGTCTTGGCCTACTTCAGCTACTTGGCGTTCTTGAGGTACTTGACTTACTTTTGTGTCTTGGTTTCCTAGCAAATCATTGAATTTAGACACCACACGACATACTCCTCCACAGAATTAGTCGTGCAGCGAGTCAGTGGCATAGGGCGTTTTGAACAAAAGAACTGGATTTCGAGTGTTCATCCGACCTCCAGGAGTTCAGCCTATGAACGTCCGATTAGTCAAGCGAATCGTGACCACCGAAACGTTTTCAGGGAATGTCTTGCAACTGTCTACTCACCAGCGTTCGCATAACACGTTCTTTTTTCACCTAATTTCATGTATAGTGTTTAGTTACAAGTCCCAAAAGAGGCATCATACCTTCTTTTTGTGTTACATCGGACAAGGCATACATGTGCATACTTTTCCTATTAATTAACCAGTGAAAAGACCATAAAAAAGAACTTACACTCTGTGTTGTGTTCCAGACGACGGAATTCCCAGAACAGTACAAGGGAATCATAATTATTTTTACTTCCACTTCAATGCCAGTTGTTACGCGTTTTTGAAAAAACACTACTGTATTTAAGATGTTAGGAGAGAAAGGTAAATTCTCAAATTGCAATGAAGACAATGAAGGAAGCAAACTCAAGAAATCACAAACAATAAAGAGGAAATCAAAGAAAGGTCTAGAAGGCTGCTTAAATACCTCCGCCTACTGGTTGTATTGCATTTATAACCTTTCAAAATCTCCTTAAGCAGTGAAAAGCTGTTTTTGATCTAAGTAGAAGAGTTACAAGTCAGTTCAAGACAAAATCGATCATAAGCGTATGACGTCGCCTTGCCCTAAATTATAAAAAAGAAAAAAAAACTTGCGTTAATTATACTTCAAAGAGAAAGTATTTGATCTCAAAAACGCTCACTTACTAGTTCGCTTGTTTTGGTTTAAATTCAATAAAATCATTTTTATAAAAAAATTAAAATAATGAGGCAGCACGAAAATTAAAAAACTTTTTAATTTTTTTTTTCTAACGGCTTGTTTATTAACATATACTGGTATTACTGCTTTTGTTTTGATTGTTATCATAACTCGTTTAATGAACGATGAAAACAGTTATGTAACGCGTGGCAGCTTCAATGTATCATTTGTACAATGTATAGTTGTCATCCAGAGTTTAGACTACGAGCAGCCTCTTTTTTTTTCTTAGTCCGTGAGACACGCAAATCATCATGCGCGTGCCGCTTTCGCGAGCGTCTGTCCCCCTCTCCCACCCCCTCGATGAATCTATAGAAAAAGAGAAACTGTGTGCAGTCTATCCTAACCTGAGATCAGGCCCAATTTTAGCGGTTCTCATACATTCTCCTTGCCCGCCGGAATGTTATTTTCGAAGCGAAACGAAAATAGAGCTCGATCTCAGGTTAAGTCTATCTAGAGTTTCTCACATGGGCAGCCTGTGTCAACCAAAGGAAAGAGATCGCTCTTTCAGCAGACAGTCAACGCCTTGGTTAAAATATGAACTTGAGCCTTGTTAAAAGAACCCACAGCGATATTACTAGTATCTATGAAGGTAGGACATAGTGAATTATCGCTCAGTTACATCGGCGGATTCTGCGGCAGAATTTTCTTCATCACTCGTCTTCAGCAAATGTTTCATGTGATTATTGTACATCCAACCGTCTCCGTGACGATGAAAGATCTAAAAAAAAATAACATGATATGGTAGCGAAACTCATGTCATCATTCGAGTAACACTATCAAAAAGTCGTATTAAAATTGAGAGCAGGAATAGCCTGAGAAAAAAGTCGACATTTCGCGACGTCATCAACGGTGGTTTCCGAGGTCTGAGGAACGAGCACAGAATCTCCAAACTGATGGCGTGTCACTAGCCAGATCTGGGTAGTGCTTCTGACTAGCTGAGGCAAATTTTAACCATATCAATTTTCAAAACTGAGGCTCATGAGTTAAGGACATGACTATTCAAGCAAGCATCACTTAAGTTTTACCAGTCACGTTGTTATCCACGGCACTTATGTCTAGCGATGGACATAACTCGGACCTTAGGTACAGTACTATTCACAGCTGCACGACTTGCCCTGTCGGTAAAGCAGTTGACTGCAGAGTGGAAGGTTTAAAAATTTTGTGCAAAACTTGAATAAATTTATTCAGTTTGAAGATTACTGGTCACGCGTGACGGAGGAAAATTGCCCCGGTTAGATGAGTTATAGGCGTATGGTTTGCTTACCTCCCCTTGTAAATATGTACCGTAAAATAAGAAGAAACGTCAATAGTCTTTACAGACAACATTGTACCATCATTTTAGCCACTTGTCATTAGAAAATTTAAGCAAATCATTACGGCGACCTCTACTACGGCGAAGGGGCATAGTCAATGTTTTCGTAAAGTTGAAATTTGGCGGGTTACCGAGACGAAGTCTCTGCAGGACTCCGCATCCACGACCGTCGTAGTTGAGGTCGCCGTGGCGATTTGCGTTAAGTCCTTATTGAATTCACTAATGGTCAATTTTATATGAGTGAAGAACAACTAACCTTTGTTTTCCATTCTACACCAGCTTCTTTTCTCTCTCTGGCTTCTTTTCTTTGTTTTTCCTCAAGCTAGAATTGAAAATTTAGTGGGGCATCAAGCCTCTATCAGCGGAAAGCCCTAAACCAAATCACTAAAACGTTAGACGCGAACTCAATCGCAGAGGATTCTTTTGCAAAGCGAATTGATCATTATTTACTTGCATTTCAATCGACCCAAAAAACGGATGTCAAGTAAAGCTTAGTTTCCATATAATCGTTCAAATGTGTTTAGGCGATTAAGAACTGATATGAAAACACTTGTCATGCAGGGGAGGACAGGGGACAGAAAAACCGGGCGAATAGGGGACGGGAGGGGTATGGGAGGCGGGAGAGAACTTGGCTAAGGGGAGGAAGCCAAGGAAAACAGGGCGGGAGCTGCAAATGTTGCCTATATAACCTGCGATGATCTTCCTTCATTTAATTCTTCACTCCGCAGTTCACATATATGATTTTCATATATTCATAACTTCATCACTTTACCCATAATCGAATCACAAGGCCAGCAAGAATAACCAATACTAATGCGACCCTGATTGATAATATATTTGTAAACAAAATAGACGAGAATTATAAATGTGGTATCCTTTTTACCGTGAGATCTTTCGGATCACTTACTAGTGTTCGTAACAATGGGCAAACGAGATGCAAGCAACTTTTTTGCTCTTCACGAAAAGATTCCTCATACAGGAAATGCTCGATTGCATCGTTTATAGCAGCTTCGATGTCAGGGTGATTCGATAACAGATGTCTCTCTCTCCCTCCATATCGCATTCCTCATCAATGTCACCAGTGCTCGAGTGTTAACAGAACGTGTCATACTCGACCAATAAGAGGGTATACCGGAACGACCCTTTGTTAACAATGTTTACAGGCGTTCTCTCGCTCTCAATCGCAGAGGATTCTTTTGCAGAGCGAATTGATCATTATTTACTTGCATTTTATATTCATAACAATCGACCCTAAAACGGATGGTTCGCTCTTTTTTTGACTTTATGATGCCCACTGTTCATTGATAAGAATCTCAAAACATCCTGTCGATCTCTAATGTATTGGTTGTGAAAATTTATCACAGCTGCATTTATCGGAACGCATGATATCAAACTAGAAATCAGAGTAACTAACAAAGAAGCTACAACCTTGCTGTACGCCATGTTTGTTTATAATGCTCGCCGTGAAGACTGGATCCAAGAGAATGACGAAAGCGTATTCGAAAATTTCCGGATACGAAAGTCCACACGTATACGTATTCGTATCGGATAAAAAAATTTCCACTCTGGAGAGCGTTTGTCTAGAAAACACAGACCCTGAAAACATAGGTAGTAGTTCGCTTGTTTTGTTTGATGTTTTAAACTATGTTGGGTTTGAGTTCGGGTTCGACCACTCAGTTTAAATTTTTAAAAACTAAAGCCAATTCTTTTCTTTTGTGTAGTGTTTGTTCATCTTTTATTTTTGTTCACATTGAGGAGGGTCTGGATGGGGTTAAGTGACAACTGACAAATGGCCAAAATTTTAACTCCAGACACTGTGACAAATAGCCTAAAATTTAACTGACAACTGGCATTTGCTTTGGGTTTTACTGACAACTGACAAAGGACCTGATTGTCCCTTATTTTCTACAAAACCCGTTTTAAGGCCTTAAATAGCATTGTTCTGCTCTTTTCTTCAGACAATGTGATCAAATGTGCGTTTTGGGGGGTAATCTTAGCAGCAAGACCCTTAAGTGTCATATTTCGTTGATGATTTACTATAAAACCCATGTCATGTACCATCTGTGGTAAAAATGAAAAACTATTACATTTAACTGACAACTGACAAACGGCCAAAATTTTAACTGACAACTGACATTTGTACCGCCTCATCCAGACCCTCATTGAATCACCCGGCGTTTTACTACCGAGTTAAACTTTTATTCACTTAGCCGGGCACAGCATAATGGGCACAGCGTTCATTTAAAAAGACAGTGCTAACAAACTGCAATTTCGTTGTTTTCATTGTTGTTGCTGTGAAGAAAAAAGCAAAGTCGGCATCCTAATACCCAAAAACTATGGGGAAAACAAGCGCCACTCTTAACCTGTTTTCATCAAATCTGCAAGTTGAGAAATTCTCAAAAATAGAAAATTGGGAGACAAATACAGCTCAAAACAATTCTTATGGATAAAACTGGTGTAAAACAACTAACTTTTTTGTAGAGTAATGAACACTAAATGACAAGAGTCAGAGTGACTTATTTGCAATTTTAGTCTGAGTTTTGTCATTTTTCTCATTTTAATGACAAAATACAGACAAAACGTTAATTTCAGTTTGTTTGTCTGAGGTTCGGGTTTATATAAAATAGTAGCTGGGCGCAGCGCTATAGAGTACTAAAGTGATGACGTCATAAAAATGAAATTTCTGAAATTATGGGATTTGTCAGGATATTCTGAAAGAAAAATGTCCAAGAGGCCCACTTACCAAAAATGAGCATTTCGGGGCAAATTGTCTCTGAGATCGTACCCAGTTAGTTATGCCTA